CAGGAGCAACCAACATCTAGGAGATACAGGGAGCAATTCATTCGGTAATTATTTTCCTGTTAACGTATTTCTCTGAGTTAGTGTTTTAAATTCAAATACATAGAAAGTGAATTTTTACTTTCAGTCTTTGGATTTTAAATTAAATACTAATGCACATTAAATACTAATTCTAAAAACTAAATTTTATCCAATATGTTTCCTAGTCAGTCGAATAACCGTGATAATAGTATTTCCTGGAGACATTTTGCTCCCTTATAAAGACCACCCTTTATATTTGACATCTAGTACTAAACTAAACTAACTGGCAGTTATTTTGATGAAAACTAATTATTTCAGGAGAAATAATTAGACATCAGGGGTGCTCGGAGATTGAGCGATCTTCCTTCACCCTGTACGAGGCTTATGATTGGGAATTAGCACAGGGTAAGGCTTTTTTTACAAGCTAATTGAGCTTATTGTTATATGGCTGTTTGAAAAAAAAATTGAGGCTGGCAGGCAAAAGTGAAGACCAAGGCAAAGTTGAGGTGCTGGAATAGACGATAAGTCGACAACTAACAAAACATCTGGTAATTATAGTGGTATTTATATTTATGGTAAGAATCATTGAGATTACTAGCCTAAAATATCCAAGCTCCTGCTGCGGGGTTCAAAAGCAACATTATGATTCACAGAAGCCCCAATGTACCAATCGAGCTAATACATTATTCGCAGTTATTTCTATAATTTACCTTAGAGGGGGATCTCTATCCCAACAAAAAACCTATTAGGACACCTGCCCGTGGTACGTGAGCACGCGCGAGTGTGGGATTAAACAAAAAAATCAAACCTGGCGATCCCAGGATCCACATATTGTGGAGAAAGAAACATAAAATATGATCCCAGATTATGGTTCAGCGACTATGAAAATCTACTCTTAAAATTAAAACCCCGTCATCCCTGGGTATCCTTTCGTAGGCGTCTTATCCCTCTCTTCTCAATTGAGGAGCTACGCCATATAGACAACGAGACCCTCGGGCTCCCCTGAATCTACCAGCCAAGGATCCTGCTAGGTCCAGAACCCTAGGATAAGTTAACTGGATAAACATACAAGGCTACAAGTTGAATTAATATATGATAAGCATCATCAAGCGTAAAGTGTTCATCGTCTACTCGAAACTGACAAATTGCTAACTGACAAGTACTATAAAATCTTGGCCAGTAGAAGAAGTGAATAATTATTTATTTTATAATGGAATTAAATTCTAATCAATGAATTAAACTAATTTTTGAACTGTTGGTTAGAGTGTACTCTTTATCAGTTGTATTTACAGTGGATTTTGTTTTGTTTGTTGGTAATTAAGCACAAAGCTACACAATGGGCTATCTGTTCTCTGCCCACCATCTGGTATCGAAACCTGGTTTCTAGCGTTATCAAGGAGTACCTAAAATTAGAAATAATCTTGTGAATGGAATTTTTAAAAAATGGTCTGCTTAATGCGTAGAGACAGAGCCTCTCCAATTATATAATAAAATAATCTTTTTTCAAGACCATACAACAATTATCCTTACCTTAATTACAACCCTAGTCGGATTGATAATAATGAACATTATATACAACTCGTTCACTAATCGAGTGCTCTTAGAAGACGAAGAAATTGAAACATTCTGAACCATCATCCCAGCTTTAATATTAATTTTATTGCCCTTCCCTCTCTTCGCCTTTTATGTCTTATAGTAGGGTTGTTGATTTCGTCAAAAACAGTAAAAACAATTGGCTACCAATGATACTGATCATATGAATATTCAGATTTTACCTCAATCAGATTTGACTCCTACATAATCCCTGAAGAGTATTACATACAGTTACTGGTGCGAGGTACAAAAAAAATCAATATATTCCCTATCTTTAAATACTTAAATAGAAATTATTGCGTAATTTTATTAATAAAGTCATGGATTACATTAGAAAAAACGTGGGCCGAACAAAAATGGTAAATTAGAATTATTTAAAAAAAAATAATTCAAGAATGTCGATGGTTTATTATACATCTAAATATTGTGAAATTTTCTCTTTTTGAATAATATATTAATTTCTTTCCTTCCTGTGTGATAGGTATATATATATATATATATACTTACAATTTTAATAATTATTGCAAGATAAATAATAGTTGATGATGTGGTTGAATTTTGCAAAACAACAGCTTGAATGTTAAAGGAAAATTGTTATATTAAAATATCATCCATTTTAAATAAATAGCGGTATGAAATAATTATTTATAGATGCTACAGATAAGAGTGATAAACTTGTTATGTAAATAATGTAATGGATGAACATGTCTTTATTTCCTTGTAAAAACTGGTTTGGTTGTTTTCATCAAAAGTATCTACAC